CGCCTTTCTGAGGAAGCAAAAGTTTCTCGTGTGGCCCAGATCAGTAGTAGGAGTAGAACTGCAATAAAGAACCAGCTCTACCTTAACTCTCAGCTCTCTCCACCATTACAGCCAAATACAGCATTCACTGGAGATGCTGAACCAATCGCCGGCTTTAAAATGCATTTCAAAAAGGTTATCCAGCCTTGTATCATCTCAATAAGATTCGTCTCTGGAATTAAACTCATAGAATCAAACCTGGAAAAGGTCATTCGTGCATTCATTTTCTCAAGGCATGACTACTGAGGTTACAGGATAATTCATTTTTACCTCAAAATCGTTCATAAAGCAGCAGCTCAGCTCCTTATTTGATTTAGCGTCAGTCCCGGCCTCTGATCATCGGCTCCGTGGATGTTTTTAGAATTCATTTTAAACTTCTGCTTCTCACCTCTCGTGGCTGTTATTTTACTTTGTGTGCATTCCTCTCTTTGCTTTTCTGTTAAACTACTTTGTACACTCTGTTTTTGAAGGTCCTACGTTAATTAAGTTTATTATAATAAATAATCAGTTTGACGTCGATTACATTGGAGAAAAAGATATTAACAAAGTTAAATGTTCCAATTTCATTTCTTTTGGCTTTTACCCTGAGGGTTTTAAAACGCTCTGGACTGTGCAGGCTTTTCTTTCAGGAGAGCTGCACTAAAGATAATAGAAGTTCATGACTTTATGCTTACCAAAGTTCAGGCTCAACTTCCACTGGAGCGCAAATGTAACATGAGGGTGGTGAGGCTGCCAGTGTGAGGAAGCTTGAGTCGTTTCCACTCATTTACAGTCAACATATTTTTGTAATACAATAAGTTTTATTGGGAAACTTCTGTGGAAGAAAAACCTTGAATATTTTGTGGTAATGAACAGATTTGCATCAGAGCTCAGTTCACAGTTTCAGCCTGGTTGTTTGTGAAAAGTGAAAGAAATGTTTTGATGCCTTTGGTGTTTAAACTGACCTCAGCGGTGTTCACTGTGCTGTCTTTTCTGTGTATATTCAAATTAGTGTGTAGTTTAGTGTGTAGTTTCTTGCTTCATCTTTCGAGCTATTAACTGACACCAGGCCCTTAACTTTAAACATTTCAAAGGAAAAGTCTAAAAATGCTACAAGAAATATTGTGATCTTTTCTGTCTTTACACCAAAGGCAGGGCAAAACCAATCAAATTGTCTTTCTGTCTTTCAGGATGATCCCAGCTAACCACAAGTACTTCCAGCTGAGTGATCTGGCATCATCGCGGGATTACGAGCTGTGCGTTTTGGCCGTGTACGATGATGGCATCACCGCGCTGACAGGCACTAAGCTGGTGGGCTGTGTGTCCTTCACGACGGAGTCAGAATACGGACGCTGCCACTCTATACGAGACCAGGTTAGTGTGCTGATCAGCTGTTACTCCAGTTGATAACTGATCAGACTTCTGCTGAATCATAAATAGTTGATGAGCTGTCTGCTTCAGAGCACTGTCTCACTAATCAGTGATAAATGA